AACATTTTAATTCAAAAACCTATTGCAGCAGACTGGAGCTGGAGCTCAGTGGTAGAGGACTTGCCGCACACGTGTGAGCCACTGCGTCTGACCCTCGGCATTACATAAAAATAAATTAGTAAACAAAGATTGTGTCCATCTACAACTAAAAAAAAAATTTAAAAAGACTATTGCGATTTCAAACATTATAAAAATGAAGAGTATGTAGAAACTTGAGAAAGTATGTATGAAACAATACTGAATGAAACATATTCATGGGTTTACACATATATGGTGATTGCAATTATATATAATTATTTTTACTCTGATTTTTCCCTGATAAAGACCATAAAAGTGACTATTAAGTAATGGGGGGGGGGTATTTGAAAGGTTTTTAATAGAGACATCTATCTATCTAGGAAGAGGGAATGAAAGAAAGAGTAAGAATGGACATAAGAATGTGCAAGGGCTCTTAGAATATATGGAAAATGTTTGACTAATTTTGAGGTCCCAGAATCTGGTCTTATAGCTTGGAAATGTAAAAAGGTGTACCTCTGTAGGATAGATCAACTACAAAGGTAAGATCTTGGCCATAAAGGAAGGGCTACAAGTGTTTTCATTTTCATTGTTAAAAAATTAAAATGAAGTCATCCATGCCAAAATTCCACACCACCAAACCAGAACTAACTTGTTGTCTGACTTTCCAAGAAATCAGGAGAATGAAAGGCATCCAAATGTCTCAAACAGGCCAATCAGCGTGACAGTGAAGTTCCCTCTCCTTAATTCATACATCATTTAATCATTACAAAAAATAATCTGATGTTAACCAATTGTTTATTTTCTATTGTTCTGTCTCCTTGCCCCCACCTTTCAAGGAAAGTAACTTTAACCAATCGGCTCTTTGTTTCTGCTTGCTTTGGCCCTTCTCCAAAAACCTCTTTTGCTCAGCTCCTCAGAGAACCTACTCTATTTTATGGAATCATGTGTTGTTGGATTCTAGAGGTACAAAATAAAACCAATTAATATCTTTAAATTGTTGTAAAGTTGACCTATGATACCATAAATCTCAATAATATTGAGGGAGCCCAAATCCCAGCTTATATGTTAAGAAAGTGGTATTCTTTCTCTCACAAAGGAAAAATGAACCAGAGTCTCAAACTTTGGCTCTTTCTCCATAAGTCTGCCAGCATTGGTGCCTTTCTCTTCTCTGCCAGCTTTATTCTTCCTCTCAAATAATGCTACCTGCATCCTATTTGGCAACCATCTTCCTTTAATGTGTATTAATCCTTCTTAATGTGGATTAACTTGCCTGGCAGTTCATTCATCCTCTCTGGAAACTACTAAAAACAGTCTATTAAATTGATCAACTAATTTGGAGGTAAGATACTCCTTACTGTGTAATGTACATTTATTTCAAAAGATCCTGAAATAGTGGCTTGACACAAGGGAGTGATTCCAGTACAGCCATTAGGCTCTGGGCCAATTCTGTAGGAACAGTAAGTCTGAATAGGGCCTGGTTTTAGTGACCACCATCTACAACAGCAGGACATGGGAATCCAACCTAACCATAGAAATGTTATCTTCACACAACCATCCACACAAGAACCTGCAAAAATCCAGGGGGCAGCAAAGAGTAGACCTTTCCATAGGTTGTGAATGAAAGTTTGAACCAACTTTATGAAAATAAATAAAACATAAAAAAGATTCCAACTACCACTCCAGGTACACTAATTGAACCAGAGGTGTAACTCAAGAGAAATGAGACGCTCTAGGACCAAGAGAACCCCCAGACAAGAGGAGAGTAACTGTCAAAAGCCAAACTGGGTCAGAAATGATGTAGAGTACTTCTCTAGTTTCAGCTACGAGGTTGAAGTGGGAGGACTGCTTGAGCCCAGGAGTTTGTGGCCAGCCTGAGCAACATAGAGAGACCCTGTCTCTTAAAAATAAAGAAAAGTTAAACTACAAAGATACTTCCCCAAGATGTTCAATCTACTTATTTTCCAAAACCATACTGGTTCCAGGTTAAATGTGTTATGCAGATACCAGAATAGAAGCAGAGGTTAGCAGTGGCACCTAGCAATCCCTTTAGCTTTATAAATACAAATCACAAATCATAACCCGATTCTACAAGGCCATGGCTGCCCCGTCCTACCTGTTTCAATCTTACACTCTCATCTAATTTTAACTTCAAGAGCAGGGTTGGCAAATAAAGTGTCAATTTCTATGACACGGGAGAATATGCAATTGGGGACAAAATAGTTCCACTGTAGTGTTTAATCTTTGTCATCAAATGAATTATTCAGCCCTGCATTTTTGCTGTGGATTATCTGGGCCATTTTCATTTCCTGTCTCTCATTGGATGCCTGCCCTGGGCTTGGTCACTACCCACTAGACCAGTATGCGCAGAGTGCACCCTGGGAGGAAGGAGATAACATTGTGGAGCACTGGCAATGTTATTTTCTAATCCACTTAAAATTTGTATTGCCCCCAAGATCATCTCTCATCTTCTCAACCCACCATAAAACCTAAACAGGTATCATTTGGAGACGTTATTTATAAGGTTTCAATACTGATAAAACTCTTTTTAGGAGTTAACAAAGTTTCCAAGCAATTTCAAAGCAAGGCAAGGGCAAAAATGATACCTGGGAGTGGTTTTGATAAGGTTTCTTGGCTTTGCTTGCTCACTTACAATGTGCAGAGTCAGAAAGCTCATGGGGAAACTGACATCTCATCTGAGCCTTTTCTGAGAATTTGTTTCCAGGGTATTTTTTCTTCCTTGTCTCCCAGGTCATAAGAGCTGGGCTGGTCACTGTGATGAGAAGGACTAGGACCCAAGCTTTAGGGGCACTTCAGGTGTTAGCTGCAGGTAAGGCAGAGGATGTGCTGTCAGGGAACTTGAGAATATGAATAAGGCAGTAGTGACATTGGTCCACCAATACTGTTCAGGTCCCCAAGGAGGAGATTTTATCAATTATGGATGATTCTCTAGCAAGGGTTATGAGAAGTAGCCTGATGTCACCATTCAGGGAACAGGTGCAGCATCTACACTGCTGGCTGTGAGTCTAAGCAATGCCATTTAGTGCCTGAGTTGATCTTAAGTAAATTATACAACCTCTCTGTGCTTTAGTAAATAAAATATTGAATAATAACAAAAACTAAGCAGCAAGTTATGAGATAATTTACAAAAATGCTTGGCACGGCGCTTGTCACAAAGACACCCCCCAACACACACACACACATACACACATACACATTTATTTCACCACCCCCAAAACTAAGGTAGCAGGTCACTGGCCTGTGATGAACCCAGCCTAATTTCATTTTAAGATTGGGAGCCATCTCATCACAAAGTCATGAAAAGTTAATTTCGGTTTTACTATAAATTACTGCAGTTTCTAAACTTGTTTGGAATGCCTGCCTGTGCCTTGAACTCACCCATGCCTGGCTTTCTCTGACCAGATGACAATCCTCTCTGAAACCTCAGCAGTGCCACATAAATTCTGATGTTGGGATCTGAATTTACTCCCTACCTTGAAATATCATGCCATGTAAATCATTAACCTCCTATCTGCCTTTGTATTATGCTTGTCAAAATCCTGTTATCTGTAAGTTCTTAAGATACCCTCCTTTACAACTTTTTGTGCTATAAAACCTTGTTCCTGGGGAACTGGGGTGCTGATCTCTAGCCCGGATTGGGAGAGACAGCTGCTGATCAGCTCTCTGTTTTGTGTACACAATACAAGCTTCCTTTAATTTGATTTAAAATTGGAGTCGGTGGTCTTTTTTTTGCATCAGGGTTCAACAGCCTGGTGGAAGCTGTTGTCATTACCTGTGTCTGTCATTACCATTATTGTCATTACCCTTATAAACTTCACACACATGAGCTCAGCAAGCCCCAAGTTGCTAAGCAGAAAACAAAAATCACAAAAGGCCGATCCCAGCCAGCAGGCAAATAATTTGAGGGAGCATCTCTTCATGGTATCCCAATCCTCTGTGGCCCACAGCAGGCATGGGGACAGTGGCCCAGGGCATGTTTTGTGGCAATGTGAGGGAGGTGACTTTATGGCTGGGCTGGTTAGTCAGGGCCCGTTAGCCAGGGGGTGGCCTGTGTGCCAAATGGCAGGCTAAACTGGCCCCCTCTGTCTTGCACCATGACTGGGACGGCCTCCCCTCAGTGCTGCAGGTGGAGAAAATGAACAGCAGGAAGGGGCAGGCCTGGAGAAACTAAAAGGCACTGAGTCACAGGATGTGCAGCAAGCACCCTCTGTTAACCCCAGTTCAAGGATGAAGAAACTGAAACTGAGAAAGAGCAGCAAACAGGGAAGGTCTGGATTGTCTGAGGCTTCTAAAAGTGGGGGGTTGGGAAATTATTAAGGAAAAAGTTTGCATAATTCAAATGCAAAATGCCCATGGCCACTGTAAGGCCACCGGAAAGGACTTGTATGAGTGGGGAGCCCTGAAGCATCAGCTTCATTAGCTTTGTGGTAAATCTGCTGACATAACCGAAGGTCTATAGTAAGGTGAGACTACTTGTCTATGGGCACGGGCTGGTGGGGAAAGGAACAGGAGGAGGAGGGAAGGCAGGGGACATGGAACACAATGCTGTGTAACAGAAGGAGGCTTTTTGGAAGTCCATCAGATATTTCCTAGGAACCCAAGAGTACCATCAATGGAGACAGAGAAGACCAGAAGGATTACGTGTGGAGCAGAAGTCAAGTGACCGGGCCTCAGTGCAATGGCCAGGTGCCACTGTATAGCCCAGTCCATCTTATTCTGTGCATCCAGGCCCCTGAGGGTGAAATGGAAGAAGATGCATGCTTGAGGAGGGTTCCATCCCAGGCCAGGCCTGCCTGCTGTTATCTGAGCTACGGGCTCAATCATGACACTTCCTTCTCCTCCAGGAAAGTCTCCTGGTACATGGTACAAGAACCACCAAGTGTCAGGCCTGGACTTGCAGTGGTCAGATGCATTGGGAGATAGTGGAAAGATTCTAGGACTTCACACAGTAAAATGGTTCTTACCAGAAAGCAGGAAGGCCGTCACAAACAGAGTGATTCTCAGTCCCATGGTGCTAGGGTTAAAAAAGAAAAGATAAAACTTGGTTAGAAAATGAAACGGAAACCAGTGTTCACCAAAACATGACCTAGAAGTGGAGTCTGGGATTCACTTGGGTTCCTGGGTGTGGCAGAGACAAGATTATGTGCTCACCAAAGCTATTTCCTTTTCCTCTTAGTTCCACAGATAGGCCATATTTCCAGGCCTCTCCTGATGTTAGCCACATGACTGGGTTCCAACCAATGAAATTGTGAACAGAAAAAAATGAACGTTACTTCCAGACATGGCTATCAAAGCCTCCTTCCTGCTCTCTCTCTCCTGCTTCTTAGATGCAGGGAATTCAGAGGAAACATTCAAGGTCCTAGAAAATGGCAAATTCTACTATGGAGGAGAACTGTTTAGCTGAACAAATTAGTAAAACTGTTCTCTCCATACCTCCCCCAGAACTGATCCAAACTGGACTGTGACATTGGAAAAAATTAAATAAAATAAGGAAACTTACTATGTTGTGTAATAAAATTGTGGGGATTATTTATAACAGTAGCTAGCATTACTTCTTTTGAACAACACAGCAGGTCTAATGGGTCACAGGGAGGGTAGTTACATTTAAAAATCAATCTTTCTTTTGTTTCCTTGTGTTTTTCACTTTTAATGTGCATCAAAATCAGTCAGAGAGCATGTAAAACAGTTTCCAAGGCTTTATTATCTATTTGATTTAGTAGGTAGAGGTGAACCCCGTGAATGCTTATGTCTAACAATCTCACAGGTCATGGATGCTGTTGTCCAAGGACCACGCTCTGAGAAACACAGCAATAGAACATTTACTCAATCTACATGATGGAGCCAAAGAAAACGACATGCATGGATTCACAATCTCTTTCCCTTTCTCCCTCCTTCACCACAGACCCACTTACCCAATTTATACCAAAATGGACGTAAAGTGGATTACACAGAAAGCAAAGATAAAAGAAAGAACCAACATTGGAAATACGTTGAAAAGCAAGCCTGTTGTGGTTTGGATATGAGGTGTCCTCCTGCAAAGCTCATGTGTTAATCCAGGAATGTTCGCGGTAAAACAATTAGATTATGAGATCTGTAATCTAAGCAGTGTGTTAATAGTTTGGCTGGATTGCTGGGGAGGGGGTAATTGTAGGCAAGTGGGCCATGGCTGGAGGAAGCAGGTCACTGGGGATATGCCTTGGGGATGATATATTTTGTCCCTGGCTCTTTGCATTCTCTCTCTGCCTCCTGGGTACCATAAGAAACTTTTCTGCGCCACACCCTCTGCCATAAAATTCCATCATCATTTTAGGCCCAGAGCAATGGAGTCGACCAGTCATGGACTGAGACCTTTGAAATCATGAGCCCAAATAAACTCTTCTTTCTGTAAGTTGTTTTTTGTCAGGTATTTTGATCACCATGACACAAGGCTGGCTAATACAAAGCCAAATATGGGAATATAAAATGGAACTTGGGACAAAGCCAATGCTAAATGCTTACTATAGGAATCTGTCAACATGCATTTGGTGGGGCATAAGTTTGCTTTTAGCTTTTTTCAAAGTTAAGTTATTGTTTTTTTGTTTTTTGGGTTTTTTTTTTGCTATACCGGGAAACCCAGTATAGCAAACCCAGAGGTGCTCTACCACTGAGAGACATCCCCAACCCTCTTTCATTTTTTAAATTTTGAGACCAGGTCTCACTAAGATACCATGGTGGCCTGGAACTTGTGGTCCTCTATCTCATCCTCCTGGGTTGCTGGATTACAGGCATGTGTCACCACACCTAGTTGGCTTGTAACTTTTTAACAGTCAAGGTGAAAAGGAAAACCTAACTGGTGAATTAATCCACAGGACTTTCCACTAATTCACAGATTTGTCCATACAAAACAAACTGTAACTTAGAAGATACACAACTATTCTTTATCCAATAGAGGAAATTTCTTCCATGGTATGGTTTGTCTAAAGCCACTCTTGATCCCAAGGTGCTAGGCACCCTTCCCTCTGCCTCCACAGCACCCAGAGCAGGGCATTGGGTTAAATGTGTCTGTTATATTTCTTTCTTTCTAGACTATAATCTTTATTTTTTTTAATTAAAGTTTTAAAATAGATTACATCTATAAATCGTACTAAATTTAAAAGGTAAAAATGACAGTCTGGAGTTGTAGCTCAGTGGTAGCGCACTTGCCTAGCATGTGCGAGGCCCTGGGTTCAATCCCCAGCACCACATAAAAATAAATAAAATAAAGGCATTGTGTCCAACTATAACTAAAAAATAAATACTTAAAAAAAGATGAGAAACAGTAGATAGAAAGTCTCCCAACTGTTGCATCATTATCTAGATTTTCTCTGTAGGTGTAACTGGAGTGACCATTGTTACCTGATACCAGTTTCTTGCCTCTATTTGGAGTTATTTTAGACAAAATAAAATCATAGCCCCATAAACTGTTCTCCTTTTATTTTTAAACTCAAGGGTAGCATTCTATACATAATTTTTCACACTTACCATCTGGAGATTGTTCTGTGTCAGTATGTAATGAGTATTCTCACATTAATGTTGCATATTATTCTACCATATGCTATTAGAGGGCAATACTTTTTTTGCCAGGCCCCACTAAGGAACATTTAGATCGTTTCCAATCCTTTGTTGCAATTATACGCCACATTGCACTTGCAAGAGAGTGCTATATTCTTTGCAGTAGACTTGCTTGACTTGTTAAAGAGTAATGCAATTTTAGTTTTTACAAATATTGAAAATTTGTCCTACCTTAAGATTGTATGTTAATGTTTCCATCAACAAAACACAAGAGTGCTTATTTTCACACTCTTTGGGTCAATAATGTATTTTCTAATTTGTGATCTTTACCATTAGGAAAGGTTAAAATGGCATCTCATTATGATTTTTAAAATTATTGTTATTATGGTAAAATATACATAACACAAAATTTATTGTCTTAATAATTTTCAAATATACATTGGCATTAAATAGATTCATATTACTGTGCAACCATCACATCCATCTCTAGAAGTCTTTTAATTTTGCAGAACTTTAACTCTGTACCTATGTAAAATGTATAGTTACAACTCTGTAACTCTGTTCAATGACTCTCTATTCTCCCCTTCTCCCAGGCCCTGAAAACCACCCTTTCACCTTCTATCTCAATGAATTTGACTACATTAGGTGTTAATGGGATCATACAGTCTCTGTCTTTTTGCGACTGGCTTTGTTCACTTGGTATATTGTCTTCAAGGTCCATCCTGTTGTAGCACATGTCAGAATTTCCTTATTTTTTAAGACTGAATTCTGCCGCAGTCCGGCTGCAGCAAAATAACCGGGGGGTGACGAGCAACTTGTGTAGATTGATACAGCAGGAGTGGGAGCCGTTTATTGTAGGACTGGAGGGGTATATATACATTACACACAGCTTATCTTAATTAACATAAACTAGATACAGCAGTCAACCAATAAGGAATCTCCACACTTAATGGCTCGCTGGCGTTACTTCACAAACCACTCCCTCTGGCAAAATGCCAGGCACCATCCTGACTTGTTTACAGACCCTAACAGAATTCTAGTCCATGGTATGCTATACTACATTCATCTCTGATGGTCACTTGAGTTGCTTCCACCTTTCGGCTGTTGTGAATAACAGCTGCTCTGAATGTGGGTGTACAGATATCTCTTCCAGACCCTTCTTTCACTTCTTTTAGGTACAAACCCACAAGTAGAATTACTGATCGTATGGAAATATTATTTTTAAGTTTCTGAGGACCCAATAAACAGTTTTCCACAGCAGTCACACCATTTCACATTCCCACCAATAGTGCACAGAGTTATATTTTGTCCACATCTTTGCCAACACACATTTTTATATTTTCTTCAATAGCAGCGATACCAATGGGCATGGGGTGGTTTTTGCTGTCATTTAAAATGAGTTTCTTATGTGAATCTGGGCATTTTTTTCAAATGTATAAGAGGTAGCATGTCCTGTTTCATGTGCTGTCTATACTTGATCTTAGCCAAAAGGCCAAGAAGTGATCATGTGCTGTCTATACATTTATTTTGTCCACTTTCAATTTGAGTCTTTGGTTTTTTTCTTATTGATTTGTAGGAGCTCTTTTACATTTAGAAAATCAGTACTTTATGACAATGTTGCAAATATGTTTTGTTGCTGAAATACACAGCAGGAGTTCAACATATGAACTGAGTAGCTAGTTCCCAATCCCCCACCCCTTCCAGTTATTTTAATGGGCTTTGAACCTTGGGCCACTCTCTGTTAAACTAACAGTGACACCACTCAAGGGCAGAGCCAGTGAGATTGATTCCTGGGCATCTCCTCATGCTCAATCACTAACAGCATCCTATTTGACATAGGATTTGAGGACTGGGCCTCCTTTGAATCTAAGTCTCCACCTAAATATAGGAATCCCTCATGTTTGTAAACTAAAAATCAGCCTGCTTAACCTAAGACAATCTTCTGGGATGACATGTTAAACAGGGACATAGACTCAAATTATATTTTGTCATAAATTTAATAAATCATCTTTGATTCAAATAATTATATGAAATCAATATGGCCGTGGGAAATCTTTATGTCTTAGACAAAATGTAAGTCAGTAGGGAGAAGCACTGGCCCTAACAAGGAAGTCAGTATCATTTTGGACTTCCCTATTTGGGAACTCTCTCTTCCCCTGGGTAGAGACTGCCTTTCCTTTACTTCCTTTCATTGATACTGGTTTTGTCCTCTGAAACTACCCAGAGTAAGTCTAACATTCTTCAGTCAAAGCTTTTCAAAGGATTTGGGGACAGCCATCATAACCCCCTTCAACATCCTGGCCTGGCCCAGCAGGGACAGTCCTTACAGGAAACTTCACTCTGGTGATGGTGTAAATGGCACATGATTCTTGAAAACACTTTGGATACTGAGTTTGTCAGTGATGTTATTAAAATTTGATATTCAAATACTTGAGGTTGACATGATCCCTTTTTAAAAAAAATTAAGTATGGGGCTGGGGTTGT